ATACGCCTTGCGGCATACAAACCCCCAAACCCGCCCCCCCCCGGGTGTATGTTAAGTCTGACAAGGAAAAAAAGCCTTCAAGTTGCCAAGGTTGAGAAACACTGGTCTAGACAGAACCCTGAAAGGCGGAACGAGCTTCCCTCTGCCTCCCGTTATACCAATACTATAGTTGTCAAATTTAAGATTTAAGATTTAATGAATTTGTATGCCACCCAATCCCGAAGGACTCCGGGCGGTTTACATAAAATCATGGCAACTCTACGATTAGGCAGTCTACACCAGGAGTCTCTGACCTTGGCAACTTTATGGCTTGTGGCCTTCAACTCACACAATGCGCTGCGGTGGCTGAGGAACTCTGGGAGTTGGAAGTCCACAAGTCGTAAAGTTGCCAAGGTTGGAGACCCCTGGTCTACACAATGTTAAAGAAAGCTGGCTGGAGACTTCTGGGAATTGAAGAATTCCCAATCCACAGATCCTAAAAGTTGAAAAGTTTGAAAAACGTTGCCTTATACCGAAGAGAAAAAGGGAGGGCAACCTTGAGTTTCTTTCCCACCCTTTCCTCTTCCAAGGGCTGAACTAATATTTAGTCATTCTTGTATTCCTTCCTTAAGTTTATCTCTGTACTCCTCTGCTGTAATACTATGTGAAATGACCTTGGGATAGTAGGCGGAGCTGCTGCCTAAGGAATGGTTAGATAAGAGACAGAGTAACCCACAACTGCCTAATGGTCGGGGCAAGAGACTCACCCTTCCTAGTTTCTTGGGATGGTAAAGAAGACAGGGTGAGTGGGGGGGAATGTCCTTTCAGATTATCCATGCAGCTTCATAATAAAGTAATATTGAGGTGGTTAAGGGCCTTGTTTCCTGGTTATATTAGCAATTAACGATTTTATTTGGTTTCACATACTGTTATTTTGTACTGTTTTAATTATTTTTATGTTTTGTGATACATGGCACCCAGAGTCACATGCTGAGATGGGCAGCTACATGTAGCCCTTGATTTAAAACGGTTCATTTAATGGCCATTCCACGTTACAAAAAAAAAGCAATGTGACCGTTGCTAGCATCCGTTGCTAGCGGGAAATAGCACAAAGCTACTTAATTAACTTTATTGATTGATTAGGCCTTTAGGCCATGTCGAAGTGCAAAGTTCCAGAAACAAATTATTACTAAAATTTGATAAAAGCAATTTAAAATGGAATTGGAATAAAATACAATTTAAAATGGAATTGGAATAAAATACAATTTAAAATGGAATTGGAATAAAATACAATTTAAAAGGAAATTGGAATAAAATACAATTTAAA